AGCAGGGCCACGCTGCTGTGGCACCCCAAAATCAGGAAACAGGCACAGCCCCCTGCAGTGCCGGCACTCAGCAGCAGCACGACCCGAAAAGCTGCTGTGGAATGCACCGGGGTGAGCCGAGGCTGCATTGCCTGAGAGCCCTGTTCAGAGGGAAGTTTGGAAACGGGCCCCAGCCCCGCGCGGGATAAGCTCCCGGTAATCCGCGGGGCTGAGGCTTGGCACTCCTGTTCCCAGGGGGTTATCCCAGGGGAGGCTCAGCCAGGATTCTGGGCACAGGCTAAGGGGTCACAGTGCCAGGCACTGATGCCACACACTGTCACTCTGGCATGCAGCCCCGGTACAGCCGTGTGCAGAGCAGACCCTGGGCATGCACCTGCCATCCCCACCAGCCCCGCATCTGCCCCACGGCCACTGCTGGCACAGCCCTGCTCCACCACGGCTCTGCCCCATGGTCACAGCCAGGCACAGTAGTACTGAGGTGTGCTCCCCATTGCAGCTGGCATCGCGTGACACCAGTCCCGAGGGTCTGCGCAGGGCTGACTCCAGCAGGCGATCGAGGAATTTCGGCAAACAGCCGAGCACCGGTGACTACTACAAGCACCTGGGGCACGTCGCGGCTGAGCAGCCCGGCCCCCGTCGAATGGCGCACAGTGAAGAGGTGAGCCCTGTGCCACGAGCCCGTGCACGGCTCACTGGCACCGGCACCATGCAACGCCTGCCTGTGCTTTCTCCCAGGCATCACCCATCTCGGCGGACACCATGCGCAATGGGGAGAGCAAGCCCAGTGCCGAGCTGCCTTCCCCACCGCCACCCCCACCACTGCCTGACAACGCCTGCCCGACGCCCCCACCACCACCCCCGCAGGCCGAGACCCCCGCCGGCCCCCGCCGCTCCTCCTCCTCCACGGGAAGTAAGTGGCGGAGTCACGAGTGGGCATGGGGAGTGATCTCGGGCACTGTCCCATTGGCTGCACTGTGGCACCAGCCATCTTGGCACATCTCCTCCTGTGGCACTCTGGCCGTGTGGCTCCTGATGGCCTTTCTGTCCTTCTCTCCTCCGGTGTCGGCGCGGGGGCCCTCACGCCCGCTCGCCCCTTCCTGCTCTCACTGCTGGCCGCTTCTCTTCTCTCTTGTCTCGCGGTGGCCAAATCCTTCCTCTGCCACGTGCCCTGCGCCGCCTCTCTGCTTCTCTCCCTAGGAGGAAAGGCGCTCAGGCAGATGAAGAGTAAGTACCGCGGCCCCGCGCTCCTCCCTGCTCAGGGGGTGCCCTGGAGCGGGGCACAGCCAGAGGGGCCTGACCTGGCACTGTCCTGTGCTGCAGCCACAGGACATTGGCGGCTGCTGGGGCCAGTGACTACCCGCAGCTCTCCTGCTGCCAAGCCCTCTCTGTGCGTCGGTGGCCAGTGGTGCCATGCGGGAGGCCGAGCGCTGGTGCGGGGCTGCCGAAGCCACCAGGCAGGGCTGGCAGGGCTGGGCAGGCAGCCGGGGCCCCACGGCCCCCGCGGCCCCGCACACAGAGGGCCTTTGTTTGCGCTCAGCCGGCCAGCGTGACCCCGCCACGTGAGCGCACCGGCCGCTCCCCCGCTGCTGACCACAGCCGGCGGGCTTGGCCATCGCTCCGCACCCGCTTTATTAGCGCCGGCTCCTGGGGCTGGGGGGTTTCAGCCGGCACTGGATGGCAGCGTGCGTGCCCCGCTGGGCCCTCAGCACCCGCAGCCCTCTGGCCCCAGCGTGGTGCAGCCAAGCAGGGCAAGCTGCGGGCACCAGCCGCGGGGAAGGGGCTTTGCCTTGGCACGGCACCATGGGCTGCTAGGGACGCACGCATGGCTGGCACAGACGGTGGGTGCTCGCAGGGCGGGTGGCACGAGCAGTGGCATGAGCATCCTTGGGATGCTGGTGCCATGCAGCCCTCTGGGCTCTGGGCTGGCAGTGGGGCTGTCTTGGGCTGTCGGTGCATCGCTGCTGGGGGCTGCAGGGGACTGTAGGGGCTGTTCTGCAGTGCCAGGGTTGCCACTGGCCATGGAGTCTTCCCTCCAGAGGCAGGTCACTGCTGCCACACACAACACAGTGCTGCAGGGGCAGGGGGTGGCACTCAGGGCTGGGGCTGTGCTGGGGCTGCAGGAGCTGGGTGTTGGTGTGCTGGGATGCTGCTCCAGCTGGGTGCCATGGACGCAGTAAGCTGGTGTTGGAGTGCTGGTCTTATGGGTCTGGGGAGCTAGGATGACAGGCTGTTGAGTGCTGGGGGGTTGCTCCAGTGGGGTCCCATGGACCCAAGAGTTGGGTGACATGGAGCTGTTCCTATGGGCTTAGTGATCTGGGTGTCGAGATGCTGCTCAACGAGGTCCCAGGGGCTCCTGGATGATGGGGGGGCAGACACCCCTCCATCCCTGTGCCCTGAAAACAGATGGGGGATTCAGAGGGACAGTAGCTGCTGCTGGCAGGGCACTTACTGCTCATTCTGCCTCCTCTTAGGCACAAAGTCCTTCAACATGATGTCCCCCACCGGTGACAACTCAGAGCTGCTGGCCGAGATCAAGGCTGGGAAGAGCCTCAAGCCAACTCCACAGAGTAAAGGCTTCACCACTGTCTTCTCCGGCAGCGGCCAGGCAGGGGCCAACGTAGGTGGTGAGGGGGGCCTGGGGAGCCAGTGGCACAGTGCCGCACAGCATGGCAAGTGCCCACCACCCTCCCTCCCTCCTTCCACAGGCAGAGTCGCCAGTGTCCTCCCCATCACCCACCAGGACGCCCACCCCACCAGCCACCCCCGAGGCTGCCGGGCCACCACGTTGCCTGGCAGGGGGCTCACCAGAGCTGGTGCTAAATGGGAGCTCACCAGTGCCAGCAGCAGGTGCTGGGGCGGCGGTGGAGGTAGAGGCGCTGGTGCCGAGCCAGGACGAGCAGGGCCGGCCCATTCCCGAGTGGAAGCGGCAGGTGATGGTGCGCAAGCTGCAGCTCCGCATGCAGGAGGAAGAGGAGCAGCGGCGCAAGGTAGGGGGGTCCCACGTGCTGCGGCGGCGAGCGCGGCGTGGGCATGGCCCAAGCAGCTCAGGACCTGGTGAAATGGTGTGTGTGGCTTCGCCTCCAGCTCCCAGCTGGTCTGGGGGGGACCACCCCACCTGCATGCAGAGGCATTACACCTGGGGATGCCACACATGGTGGTGGTGGCATGAGGTGTGCGTGGCACAGCCTCAAGAGCCCCTTTGCCCTCTTTCCTGCCACAGCCCGGGAGCCAGTCACCGCCGCTGTGCCGGCGCGGGCCACCTGCCTGCAGGGGCATGCCAGGACCTGCCGGGCAGCTGACGTGGGAGGAGGACATGCGGCACCTGGAGAGGCAGCTGGGGAGCCTGCGGGTGATGCACGAGGTGCAGCCAAGGCAGCCGCTGCTGGGGCGGCCAGAGGAGGAGCTGCCACCATTCGTGCCACGGTCCGCCACCCCGGCACCCCGGCATTCTGCCCTTACCCGTGAGGACGTGCCTGCCCACAGCAGCCAGTCTCCCACACTGCCGAGGAGCATGGCCGTGCCACCAGCCACTCTGAGGGGCCAGGAGGGCCCCAGGGCAGGGGGGGCAGTGGGCAGCCCTGGTGCCCGGCATGATGCTCGGCGTGAGATCCTGGGCTGCGGCGTCTCTGTCCGCAGCCTCAAGGCCAACTACGAGGGGCCGGGGGGGCCTCCCCAACCCCTCCCCAGGGTCACCAAGCACAAGAGGGTGCAGCCGCCTGGCAGCGCCCGCCAGCCCATCCTGGAGGAGGAGTATGGGGATGGGGCATTGCGGCGGAGCAGACCAGTGCTGCCAGAGCCGAGTAGCCCATGCAAACACACCAAGGGGTGCAAGGAGCGTGCTGTCTTCCTCTTCCTGGAGCACTGGAAGAAGCGGGCACTTGCAGCTGTGCCTGGGGAGGAGCGGCCGCGGCGGCCAGGGAGGCGGCGTCCGGCAGCAGGGCGGCTGCTGGCCCGCTGGAGGAGTGTCGCCCGCCGAGTGCCAGGGCGTCAGATCCGGCGACTGAGCCGTACCACAGTGCTGTACTGGCCCCAACACTTCCTGCCCCACGTCGGTGGCTCACCCATGCCCCACGACAGCCTCCCACTCGACCTCTTCATGCTGGGCTACTTCCAGCTGCTGGAGATGCCACTCAGCCCCGAGGAGCGGCGCTTCCGTCACCTCCTCTGCTATGAGATGTTTGACCGCCTGGGCAGCCACAGCTGGCACCGCGTCCGCCGTTTCCACCGCACTGTGCTGGAGCAGGTCGAGGCTGGCCACCGCCACTGGCTTGATGGCTTTGAGGACCTTGTGCAGGAGTTTTTTGGGGATAACCCTGTGGCAGCGGCAGAGAGCCTGCCAGAACCACTCCCCATGGCCCCAGAAGGGCAGGTGGCAGCTGTGCCAGTGCTGGTGCCAGAGCTGGGCGAATTCAGCGAGGAGGACGTCTGCCACTTCATCGACCGCAGCTTCTCCTTTTGGAAGGAGAAGGAGGCAGAGATGTCTGACACCTGAGCCCTGCAGGATGCTGTGGGCTGTACCAGCGGTGTGGCATGGGCGGGAGGAGCAGGCTCAGGGGGCAGCTGTGAGCAGCAGGACCTGGTGCCCGGGTGTGCTCAGCTGCCTCTGTGGCTCTGGCGGTGCCGTGGTGCAGCTCGGCTTGGCGGAGGGCTGGGTGTTGTTGTGCACGGCCCCGGGCCGAGGTTGCAGTGTGCTGCTTGCCGTGGCTGTGTGTTGTGTGGGAGATGCAGCAGCGGGGCTGCACTCCCCTCTGGTGTGGCATTTGTGGTGCTGGGGCAGTGTGGGCCCCCGCGTGTCGTGCAATAAAGCTGTGGTGTGCTGCAAGGGCTGGCCACGCCACACGCTCCTTCCTCCTCCCCGCGCCGGCGGAGGGCAGGCAGCGAGGGCTGCGTTGGCAAGCAGCATGCTGGCGAATCCCACCAGCACCATACCAGGAGTACGGCTCAGCCCAGCCGCCAGAAGGACGTGATATCACGCATCAGGATGATGCTGTGGCCCCATGGTACCGGCAGCGAGGGTGGGCTCCCAGCAGCGCCAGTAACACAGCTGTCTATTGCAGGAGAAGGAGGAGGAGGCGCGTCTGGCCAGCATGCCAGCCTGGAGGAGGGACATCCTGCGTAAGAAGTTGGAGGAAGAGAGGTGAGCTGGGGCCGGGGGGGGGATGTTGCACCCACTGGTCACTCCTGCAGCTCTGTTAACCCCAGTCTTTCCTTTGCTTTCACAGGGAGCAGAAACGGTGAGTGCCGCAAGCCCCTTCCCTGGGCGGGTGGGCACGGCGGCTCCGGTGGCTCTGGTGACCGTGGCGCCCCGTGCCCTCCACTGCTGAGCAGGAAAGAGCAGGAGAAGCTGAAGCGGGAGGAGGAGGAGAAGGAGAAGGAGCAGTCGGAAAAGCTAAGGACTCTTGGGTACGATGAGACAAAGCTGGCGCCCTGGCAGCGACAGATCATCCTCAAGAAGGGGGACATAGCCAAGCACTAGCCACGCCACGCCTGGCTCTTCGCGGCGGGAGGAGGCCAGCAGGTCCCCCCACGGACCATGATATGCCTCGGCACCCTCCTCCCGCCATGGATGGCCACATATCCCAACCTAGAGGAGCCCCACCACCTCCCCAGGCACCCCTAGTCCCCATCCCACTGTCGCCAGCCCACTACCACCTCGTGCTGCCCTTTGCAAAGTGAGTTGCCGTGGGGTAGGGCACGCGGCTCCTTGTGCACTGCCCGGCTCGGCCGCTGCGGCTGGGCTCGCCGTGCTGCCCAGCTCCCCGCACTCCCCACTGGCACTGCTCGCTGTTGCAGCATGCTCAACCCCACTCCTGCCCCTCCAGAGCCGCTCGAAGCTGGCTCCCGGCTCATCTCCACTCAGACCACCTGCCTTTCCAGCAATTAAAACTATAAATCTCGCCAGCAGTGCCCCTCGCCTTCCTGGGGCTGCCCACACCACCCCTGTCCCAATACCATGCTTGCCCACTGCACTGCCCCCCTCATCCACAGCACCACAATCATCCCCATCACCCACACCACCTGCATCTCTGCCAGCACACGCATCGCCCGTCACCTGTGGTGGCCACATCACCAGTGGTGGCCCTGAGGTCAGCAGTGCCTCGGTGCCTTGCCGGTGCAGCCCTGCGAGGAAGAGAGGGGGCCGGCCGATGGAAAACACGCCACTTTATTGGGGTGAGCACAGGCACGCCCGGCAGCAGGCAGCCTTGAGAACTGTCCCATGGGTTTGCAGTGGGCTCGGTGCCCGCTCGTCCTGCGAGTGGCCAGGCAGCCGACCTGCTGGGGCGTGGGGTCCCTCCTAGCCCTGGGAGCAGGGGGACATAAATAGAGGGGGACAGTGGGTAGGAAGGGGACATAAAAGTGACATAAAATGTCTACACGGCATAAGTAACAATACTTAGGGGTATGGCACAGCAGAGGTGCCCAGTGAGATGTGAAGGTGCCAGGACCTCCCTGTGCCATGGGGTGATGCTGAGGGCTAGGGCCCCGCTGGCAGGCTCTGGCGCAGTGCCTCGGCGCAGCCGGCCAGCTCCATGCGCTCCAGCGCAGCAAAGACGCGGTCCAGCGTGGCGCTGGTCTGCTGGCACCAGCGCTTCAGCATCTCGTACTGCTGGTCACGGATGTGGGCCACCTCCAGCTCCACCAGCTCAATCTCCGCCTCCCGCAGCTCCAGCATCCGCATGAACTCCTTCCAACGCCGTACTGGCACAGCGTCGATGACAGCATAGAGCTGGCTGCCCTGCAGCAGGGCACTGCGGGGCTCCGGTGGGGCAGAGGGCTCCTCCTCGTCGCTGAGCTGCTCACGCAGCAGGGCCTGGTGCTTGGGGCTCTGCCCCACCATGACAGTGGCACGATCTGTCCCCTGTGGGGAGCACGGCTGGGTCCAGCACAGGCTGTCCCACCCTGGGACACTGAACCGGCACCACGGTGTGGCCACAGCCCCAGCCATGGAGGTGCCTGCCTGTGCTGTGGGCAGGGGACCAGGTGCCAGGGCATCGTGCCGGAGCCTCTTCCTCTTGTGGTAGATGGCAAGGGCACCCAGGAAGAGGGGTCCGGTGAGTCCCAGCAGGATGTACTCCAGACCTGAGTCTGCAAGGAGCAGCAGGAGTGTTCTCATCCAGTACGATGATCCCACACCACTACCCCCAGCTCCATCACCCCCATACCTTGGCCACTGCTGCTGCTGCCACACACTTGCTGGCACTCTTTGCTGCACGTGTCCAGGGTGCTCCTGCAAGGAGAGGGGAGCCATGGGCACTATGCTGTGCCATGCCACAGGCCCCACACCTGTCCCCAGCTGGGACACAGTAGGGTCAGTGCTTACATGTGGCATGGCCGGCACTCATCACCCTCGGTGTAGAAGTCAGGCTTGCAGCTGCTCTCACAGAGTGTGTCCTGAGTCTCTGAGCCTGGAGAGAGGGTGGGCATGAGGGAGGGTGGCACAGCCAGAGGTGGCACAGCCAGCGGGTTGTGCCGCGGGGCGGCTGGCAGCACTCACAGGGCTGCTGGATGAGGCGCCCAGTGCAGGGCTGGCACTTCCGACATGAGAACTCGCTGCAGCTCTTGTCGAGGCAGACACGGAAGTATCCGGGCTCACAGCCACAGGCAACGTTGCTGGTGGCCGAGCAGTTGCTCAGAACACTCTGGAAAGCTGCAGAAAGCAGGCAGTGAGTGGCACAGCACTGCGCTGCATGGCACAGCACAGCATGGTGTGATCCCAGCTCACCTTGTCGGTCACACTCGTAGCAAGCCTGGCACTCTGTCAAGGTGTTGGGCTGGGAGCGGAAAGTTCCGATGGGACAGGGATTGCAGACCCTGTCGTTGTGGCTTGTGCAGGGCTTGTGCAGGTACGTCCCTGCAGGGACAGCGGAGTGACAGGAAGCATGGCCACACGGGGTAACACACCTTCTGTTGCCACAGTGTGCCATGCCATGCCACACGGGCCAGGCAGCACTCACCTGCAGGACACTGGCGACAGCACTGGTGAGTACGCTCGATCCAGTTCATGCCAGCAGGGCAGGGGTGTCTGGTGGCATGTCTCCGCAGGCGGGTGAGTGGCTGCACCAGGACCCGCTGTCCTCGCAGCACAGCATGGTTCTGCCACCCCAGGGGCTGTGATTTGCTGGCTGCCAGCCCCAGCACTGCCAGGATCACCTGTGGGCAAAGAGAGAGCAGGGCTGCGGGCAGCCAGGGTGCCCCAGGAGCCGTGGACCCATGGGGGATGGCCCTCACACCATGCTCCACTCCCAGCCACGTATGATGGGCTACTGGAGCCAGAGCCAGGTCCAGTACCATGTGGACACCAGTGCCTGTGCAGGGCAGAATGGCTGGACTGGTGGCCCTCTGCCCTTGAGCTGCGCGGGTGTGCTGCCCCAGGGCAGGGAATGCCCCGTGGCAGCCCCTGTGCACTGCCTTTCCCGCCCTACAAGAGCAAGCCACTTCCTGCTGGCCCTGTGGGGGCCACTGTACCACAACCTGTGCCCAGATGGCTGCTGTCAGGTGCCCCTGTGCGCTCTGCAAAGGGTGCTTCCAGGTTGGTTGGGGAGTGGTGCCGGGAAGCTCGACCACCTGTGACGACAGGAGCCCTGCCGTGTCCCCAGGGATGGGGACGAGTGAGTCGGGCGCGCTGCTGGTGGTGCCATGGATTGCAGGTCCAGGGAGTTGTCGGCAGCCAGGCGCGGGGGGGGCTTAACTCTGCCAGCTTAAACTTTCCTGGGGTTTATCTCCCTCGCAGAGGAGGTGATTTCCGCCCCGAGAGGAAGCCGTGCCTGGCTCACGCTCTCCCCGATGCTATCACGCCTTGTGTGCGCGTCCCAAAGTAGGTCACAGCTCCCCCGCGGGGTGCCAGGTGCTACACGCAGGGCAGCCCCTCTGCCCAGACAGCCCCGGCTGGGGGGGGCGGCGAGGAGGTGCCCACGCTGATACCCCTTCCACGGGCAGGGCAGGGACCCGGGAGGGCCGTGGCGCTGGCAGTGTGGGCAGGGAAACAGGGGATTCCTCGCTGGGGGCTGGATTTCCCAGCCGTGATGGCCCCGATTACTGCAGCTGAATCATTTTCTGCTAAACCCGCCGCCACCGGCAGACTGGAAACCGCGCTGGGCCGCCCGCACGCAGAGCGCTGGCGGCAGAGCAGGGCGGCTGCCGCAGCCCCGGCTGCCAGCGGCACGTCTGAGTCAGCGCCGAGGCACGGCCCTGTCAGCACACCCTGCCCGCAGCCCCCCTGCAGCCCCCCGGCCGGCGCGGGGAGCAGGTGCCCGGCGGGCAGGGGAGCGGTGGGCGCGGAGCAGCGGCGGGCACGCCTGGGGCCGGCTGCGGGTGGGCACAGACACCGCTTCCCACCGCCAGCGCTGCTCCCGCCCACGGCGCGGCCTCTGCTCCCCTCATCCGAGTGCCGGGACAGCCACTCCCCAGCCCCGAGGGCAGCCCCACCGCCGGCAGCGTGACCTGAACCCGCGGGCTGTCGGCACAGCCAGTCCTCGTGGCACTGCCCTACCTGCTGCCCCGTGACTGAGCCCACACTCTCCACGACCGCATTGTGTCCGTGTCTGCGATCTTCGTGGCTGTGCCATGCCTGTGGCCCCTGTAGCCATGCCACACCACGGGTGCTTCGGTGCAGCAGAGACCAGTCCCAGATGTTAGCCAGAGGGGCAAGCGTGTTTGGCAGGTTTGGCACTGGAGTTACTCCATCTTCCTCCCTCCCTCCTCCAGACCCATTTCAGCCACGGCCCTGGGGCACCCCACAGCTGGTGCCAGGGCTCCACGGGACCCGCATGCCAGCACACTCACCCAAGCCACCCCAGGGCAGCAACACTTCATCCTTGTGGCCGATGTGGTTGGTTCATGCCAGGGCAGTGAGGGGACCAGGGTGGCGGGCGCGGTTGGGTGTCAGGGCAGCTCAGTGCCCAGGCAGGGTGCCCCGGCACCCCATGGCCACCGCCAGCAGCACACAACGCGTGGTGAGTGAGCGCCAGCCCTCCCCACACAGGCTTTTACACCCAACCGCAGCAGGAGGAAATGCTTTTTTGGAAATGAGTCCAGGGGATATGAAACCACATGACAGGAGCGCCACCGCCCTCCCTCACCCGCTGGCACAAACCCAGGGTAGCGGAGGTTGGGGGGGGTGATGTACAGCATGCAGGGAGCAGCGCTGACCCTCACCCCAGGGCTCCATCCCCATCCTGAGCCCTGGAACAGGAGGCTGAAACTGGCCCTAGTCCCCTCTTCACCTGCCCCCGAGGGGCTCCCTCATCTGTGCCTCACCCACCCCGGTGCTGCCCAGCCCTGGGTGCTGCCATGGCTGAAGGAGAGGCGAGGCGGGCGCGAGCGTGCACCAGCTGGGTTTATTGCTCAGCTGGGACGTGGAGTGCAGCCTGGCATGGGGGGGCTCCCACCACAACTCTCATACTCTGGCCTTGGGCACTGCCACCTACTGCCACCACACAGGGCAAACCCACCCCAGCCCTGCACCACCCCCTTCTGCCACTAGCCCCAGCCTCCTCCCTGCACCACCTGCAGCACCATGCCACTGGCACTGCATCCCTCTCAGCATCTTCCCCACTCACCATTGCCGACATTGTCATCCCTTCGTCGCCCACAGGAGCTGCCCCACAGCCCCCCACAGCCCCCCATGGCCCCAGGGCCCCCTGCCCAACAACTCTCGTCTCTGTGGACAAGGGTCCAGCACAAGCCATGTGCCATGTCCAGCCCCACGCTGCCGTGCCCAGAGCACGTCCTCGCCAAGGGGACTGGTCTGCATCCCCATCCATGTCCCCACCAGCGTGGCATCCCAGTGCTCGCTCTGCCCAGCCCTGGCATTACGCTATGGTTAGAAGCAGGAGCAGCTCCTTGGTGCATCTGCGCATCTGTGCTTTCCATGCCGGCGGCTCTCAGACCTCCCTGCAAGGCACAGAGTGGGGAGAGATGCCCTCAGTGCTGGGACCCAGCCCCTGGGGAGCCCCCAGGAGAGTCAGGGCACCCCTTGGGAACAGGCAGCATGTGCTTACGAGGCCGTCAGCGTGGAGTTGAGCATCAGCGTGGCGTGGATCCGGTACAGCTGCGCCAGCGTCAGCTTGCGGTGCCGTGCCGACTGCGGGTCTGAGAGGGTCCGGTGGGCAGGAGGTGGGGGCTCACGCCTGAGCTCCCCTGGGAGGGAGACCGGGCTCTTCACTGGCTCCTCAAGCTCTGAGAGCTCGGACGTGGAGCTGCCACTGCTGCCAGAGGCAGCTGGGGGCACAGGGGCTTGGTTAGTCTGGGGGGAGCCAGCAGAGAGGTCAGAGAGGCTGCGGCTCTGGCTTAAGGGGCCTGGGGAAGTGGGGGACAGGAGCTGTGGCAGGCTGGCCTCTGACTTGGACTTAAGCACCCTGGCTGGGCAGGGCAGGAGCTGCACTGGGGTGCGGCGGCGCAGCCGGGGTGAGGGGGGCCGTGGAGCTGGGGGGGCCAGGGAGGGCTCCCGCCCCTCCTCAGCCACCCCATCTGGCTGCTGGCTGAAGTCCCGCAGTGAGGCAGGTGAGAGTGTGCCATAGGCACTGTCGATGGAAGACGAGCGGCAGCCGCCAGCCGGGGAGGCCATGCCATGGGGCAGGGGCACAGGCAGAGCGCCTGCAGGCAGCTCCTGGGTGGGGGTCTCGGTGGAGGTGTCCGCAGAGGTGCCAGTGCTGATGGAGGTGCTGGTGCCAACAGAGGAGCTGTCTGAGGTCGATCTGAAGGGTCCTGTGTCCCAGTCTGGGGAGGAGAGCTCATCACCGCCGTCTGCTGCCACCATGGCGAGCGTCTCGGTGGAACCGTCAGAGGGGCTGCAGGAGCAGGAGGGTGAGGAGGGGGCTGTGCCAGGCCAGGGGTGTGCAGGGCCCCCCTTCCGTTCCCTACCACTGTTGTGAGTCTGGGCTGGCACTGCTGCGGCGCAGGATGGTAGGTGAACTGGCAGCTGAGGTGCCGCTCCCGCCGTCCTCCTCCTCCTCCTCCTCCTCTTCCATGCACCGGCGCTGCCGCAGTTGCTGCAGCAGGTTCTGGGAAAGGGAAGGCATCAGCAAGGACGAGGTTGTGCACAGGGCACCTGCAGGTCCCCTGCACAGCCCCATTCCCCCTCACCTGGGCATTGCGCACCGCCTCGACCCAGCTGCGGCACAAAGACTGCCCGCTGGCCTGGAAGGTGTAGGCAGCCACAGCACTCCCCAGCTCGTTCAGGTAGATGAGGAGGAAGGAACCTGTGGGCAGAGGCTGTCAGCCACATCAGGGACCCCCTCTGCAGACTCCCTTCCCCCTAGTGCTGCTCACCTGGGTCCCTGAGCTCTCGGCAGACAACCTTGTCCACCAGCAAGGGCTGCCGGACCACCTTGGTGCGCTCAGCCTTCTTTAGGGGCTTGGTGATGAGGAAGAGGTCAGTGAAGAGGAAACAGTAGACGTCCATCTGGGAGTGAGAGTGGGGCCGTGGTTGCTGGTTGGCACAGTGAGTGAGGGCAGGTGGGCAGGGGCCGCAGCCGAGGCCCCCTCGTCCCCTGCAGTCCTCACCTTGCTGTCTTTACCTTCCCGCATGCGCAGGCTGCCCTCAAGGAGGAGCTGCCGGGTGTCCTCTGGGGAGGTGCCGGGGATGGGGGCTGTCAGGTCCAGCCGCAGGAATTCCTTCAGTAGCTGCCGGGAGCCACCAGCATCAGCATGGGGTGCATGGGATAACATGGCATAGGGTGGCATGGCATGATATAGCATGGGGTGGCTTGGCATGAAGTGACATAGGGTTGGTAGCGCAGTGTGGCAGAGTGGCATTGAGTGGCATAGCGTGGCATGGCATGACATGGCAGAGGACAGCAGCTCCCCCATGCCCAGCCTACCTTGTCCACCTCATCTGTGCTGCCCTCCACCACCTCGTAGGTGTCGATGCGGCTGAGGATGGTGGCCAGGCGCTGCCGCTCTTGCCGCTGGCGCATCCGTGAGTTGACGTCATTGATGAAACGCTCCACAGAGCCAATCTGTGGAGGGGTTGGCAGTGGGTTTGAGGGGCTGGGGGGACCAACCCTGTTGCCCCCCACCCCCGTACCCTTACCATGGTGGTAATGGCGTCACGGGCACGTGGGTCATCTGTCTTCTTCAGCACGGACTTGAGGAGCAGTGGGTACTTGGTGAGGCGTTGGTGGGGCTTCACCAGCATGTCGCTCAACTTCAGACGGCTGCACTGCTCATGCTTTTCGGCCCACTGTGGCATGCAGGTGTCAGTGCCAGTACTGCCCCGGTCCCAGCCCCGGTACCCACTCTCCCCTTACCGTCACATAGGTGCGGAAGAGCTCGCTGTCCCGCAGCAGTGCCCGCATGTACTCCATGCATCCCTCCTCCTCCATGCAGTACCGCACGTAGGGCTTGAAGAGGGACCCGAACTGGGAGGCGCAGAGGGGTCACCATGGGGCACAGCATGGCATTGCCCTCCACAATGGCCTGGGGTCCCCACTCACCGTCTTGAAGCCATTGAGGAAGTCAATGGGGTCAAGCAGTGCCCCAGTCCGTCGTGCCTTGGCCAGCACCGGGGCCATGACGCTGCGCCACAGCTCGCAGTGCAGCCGGATGATCTCCCCAATGTTGCTGAAGAGCCGCTCGACATCCACCTGTGGAGGTGAGGTGGGCAGTGCTGGGGGACGGCACCCGCATCTTGCAGCGTTGCCAGGCTGAGGAGCCATCCCCAACACCCCTGGCCCCCACAAGCCTCTCTGCTCACCTCACAGAGCAGCCCTGATTCCTGCAGGTTCAGCAGGCAGCAGAGGAAGAGCTGTGGGGAGAGAGCAGGGAGCTGGCAGGCTGCAGCCGTGGCCCCTGGCCCCAGCACGGCGCAGCATCCACCAGCACTCACATCGGTAATGACTTTGAGCTTGCGGATGTAGGTGGCCTCGGTGTGCAGCAGCTCCCAGATGGCTTCCTGCTGGTGGCACTGCCGGCGTGACAGGGCCTGCCAGGCTGAGTGTCAGCACCGTGCCAGGGCTGAGCAGAGCCCCCACGGCCTCCCAGCCCCTAGCCCTACCTCTGCTCCCTGGATGATCTGCTGCCAGCTGTCCTCCAGTGCCAGCCCAGCCTCATCCCCATCCTCCTCCCAGGAGTCACGGTCAAAGCGGAGCTGGGGCGGCAGCTTGGGCAGCCCGAAGGTGCCGTAGGCGTGCAGCCTGTTCGCCAGCTGCTCCAGCTTCTCAGTCTCCTGAAGCAGGGGGCAGAGCAGCTGGGCAGAGGCCAGTGGGCATGTGCCACAGACCCCTTGGCCCTGCCTGCGGAACTAGGGGGCTCGAGCCCCAGGGGACCCATCCCAGCTCCCCAGCACAGCCGCAGGCAGCTCCCGTGCCCCCTCGCCATGCCTGCGTCCGACCTACCCGCCCGAAGGAGCCCACGCTGGTGCCAGAGCCGAAGAAGCCGCTGAAGCGGCTGGCAGCGCGGTTCTTCCAGGTGTCGGTGCCATTGGTGGGCAGGGAGCTGCCGATGTGCAGGGCCAGCTCAGGGCTGGGAATGCTAGTGTCCCCCAGGAATTCCGTCATGTTCTTCCTCCGCCGGCTAAGAGCCTGCAGCAGGGACAGTCAGTGCCCCCGGGGTCAGCGCTCGGCAGCCTGGCCATGGCACTGGGATGGGGACAGTGGCGTGGCACAGCGTGACGCTCCAGCAGGGCTGACCTCGAGCACCGTGGGACAGACACCCAGATGGCAGCCCCGGGCAGTGCGTCCTCTGGCCACGCTCCCCTGCCCGCACTGACCTGCCTACCTGCATCCCGGGGGTGCAGGGCCCCGGGGGTGCAGGACCCCGGGTGCTGCCTGGCCGAGCCCAGCCGGCCATGGGCAAGCGGCCCCAGCAGCACGGGGGCTCACGACATCCCGAGGGGCACAGACCCAGCCAAGCCGCCTGTCCAGCCGTGCTCCCGGCTCCGACGGCACAGCCGGGGCCGGGCAGGCTGTGGCCGGGCTCCTCCGAAACAAAAGGAGGTGGGGCCAGAGCCGAAAACCTAATTTCCCTCCTCGCAGATAAGCTACCAGAGCTGAACAATTCACCGGCGGAGATCAAAGCCCCCCAGCCGGTCGCAAGAGCTGGGTCACAGCCAAGTGGCTCCCTCCACCCCGGGCACCGCTGCATCAGCTGCTCCCCGCGTGTCTCTGGGCTGTGCCGGAACGTGGCTGCTGCCATCTCCTTACCGTGGCACAAAGGGCAGCAGGGCCGGGGCTCCCTGCCTGCCACCGAGCCCTGGGAAGTGGCACGGTGCTGCCACCACCGCCAGCACAGCCCCACACCCTGCCACGTCCCCGGACCCAGGCAGGAAAAGCCGCCACAGGCACTGTCCCCCTTACTCACTGCGCTGCCACGTCCCCAGGTGCCCCGGCCGCCGCCAGCCCTATCGCCCTGGTGCAGCTCAGCACCCACCTGCCCCCAGGAAGGTGGTCGGGACTGAGAGCCCTGCAGGGGTGGCTGGTTGCCCACTGGCCCCCCTGCCCTGCCAGGGCTGTGCCGGTCCCGCAGCCAGGCATCATAGTGCTGGACACGGGTGGCCACCAGTCCCGGCCACACAGCCAGCTTGCCACCCTCAGGGCCTGCTGGCACAAAAGTGAGCACTGTGTCTCCCTGACCAGCCTCTGCAGAGCTGCTCCCCACGGGCCCAACACTCTCCTCCCACAGGAGTTGTGCCCAGCCCAGCCCCACGCCTTATCTGGGGACAGGGTCCACGGGGCAGGACTGAGCTGTGCTCAGCAGCTGCCAGACACTGTGGACAGGAGGGCCAGCAGCCAAGGGCGAGTCCTGGGGCCAGGGCGAATCCCAGGGCCAAGGTGGCACCAAGTGGCAGCCACTGCTGGGGCCCCCAAGGCTCCTATTTGCCTTAGCTTTGGTGGCATCCTGTACCTGGCACAGCCACAGGGCTGGTGCCACTGCTTGAGCTGCTACGCTACTGTGGCACAGCCAGTACAGCATAGCCAGCACAGCACAGTCAGGAGGCAAAGTGGCTCCTGGGGACTCCAGCAGGATCTTCAGCCACACGCCATGAGGCCATCAAGAAGACACCATGTTGCTGTCTCATGACCCATCTTCCCAAAAAGAACGGCTACAGGGGGATCACACACCCTACCATCCCCTCCCCAATTCCTCCTTCCCAGAGCTGGCACTGGCACTCACCAGGCTGTCGGTGCCCTCTCGGCATCCTGGCAGTGGCTCCAGAACTGGCCCAAGGACTGCAGCGGTGCTGCCAGGGTGCAGGATGGGCAGGCTGGCCGACCTGGCGTCCCGCACTGCCTGCTCCACCTTCAACTCATCCCCAGGCTTGGCTGTGGGAGCATCAGGTTGTCAGTGTCCCCTGGGAGCCCTGAGGCAGCTGAGCCTTCTGCCGGGCTCCCACCGCACCTTTCACCCGCAGGTAGTGCCCCCCGAAGCGGAACGCCTCGAACTGCAGGGACAGTGGTGTGTGGGACTGGTCCAGGTAGATGTCCACCTTGCCCAGCTCGATCGCCTTCCTCTCGAACACCGGCAGCAGCACCTCCCTGCAGGACACGAGCCCCACGTCCGTCTCTGCATCAGTCCCCACATTGTCCCCGTACCTATCCCCAGCAAACTCACCCCAGTGACTTCTTCTTCACAGCCGGCACAATCTCTGCCTCGATGTCGACGCTAAGGTCGAACTTCAGGGTGAAGCACTCCTTGCTGGGGTCCTGGGGGGAGGCAGCAGCCGCTCACCCAGGGGTTTCTCCCTCCCACCCACCAGGGCCATGCTGCTGCCCTGCCAAGTGCCCCAGGGAGAGGGGCTGGTGCCTTACATCTGTGTGCCTGCGCCAAGCCTTCTTTTTAGGCAGCTTCAGTGCCGAGCTCCTGCGTTCCCTGTGGGCACAGGAAGGGCAGAGTTACGGGGATGCTGTGGACTGGGGCCACACAGGGGGCATACAAGGCCGGGAGCTCACCCTCTGCTCTCTGCTGGACCTTCCTCTTCCTCCTCCACATCGGAGGCAGGGCTGGTGCGTGGGGGGCACGAGCGCGTTGACATGTTGCGGGCCAGGATGGAGCCTGCAAACGGACATCGAGCTGGGCTGTGACACCTCCCCAACCCCGTGCTGGCTCCCACTGCATCCCACTCCCACCTGTGTGTTGTACCAGCCCCAAGTGCATTCCATCACTCCCACCCCTGCGCTGCACCCCTGCCGTGGAGCTGTGGGAGCAGCGGTGCTGCTGCTCGGCCCGGCTCACCTTGAGGGGGCAGGTCGAAGCGGATGTGGCCATCGAAGTGCATGGCGCCATGGAGGCGGCCGTCGCAGACTTCACACAGGCTGAGGGGGCCGCTGCGGCTCAGCTGCCGGCACTCCACGTGGTGGCATTCCTGCGGGGACATGCATTTGTCAGGCAGCACCTGCCTGGGGCTACCAGCTATGGCATGCTGGCAGGAGGGATGGGCAGCACCATGAGCAGCTGGGTCCCCTCTCCCATCCCCAACTGCTGCTGGCACACTGCTCACGGGGAATGCTGAGGCCAGAGCGGGCACGAGGAAAGCAGCATGAGCAGGACAGAGGCACGAGACAGTGGGTTCTGCAGGACATGGTGATGACACAGGGCCTTCTGCATCACGGATTCCCCTCCTTGCTCCACTGCTATGAGCAGAGACCCTGAGACAGCTGCACATGCTGAGGCTTGGACAGGGAGCTGGGGGACAGCCACCTGTGCCCATGGCACTCACACCTCACCAGTGGCTTGGGATACTGCCCTGGCACCCCAGAGCCCCTTTGTGCTGATGAGAGCCGTGTCCCCACAGCAGGACGGAGGAAGCGAGCGTCTGCGGCCAAACAATGCTCGAAGCCGGCGCGTTTCCTCCGATTGTGTGCGGCCACGGCCGTGGCCCCAGCCCCACCGGGCATTCACAGCGGGTTATTTTTAAACCCCCGGCTGGGCCCCCAGCACAGTGCATGGCCTGTGACCTCCAGCCAGCGCCCATCTCACTGGGGGCTCCAGCTGGCCCCACTCCAGGGGATTGTGGTGCCACCAGCCACTGCCAGCAAGCCCTGTTGCACCACTGACACACCCCCATCCCCGTGTGGGACCCCCATCGCCACTCTGCATGCAGAGGGTTGCAAGGGGCTGCTGGGAGGAGCCAGCCCTGCCTGGGCTTGCCTGTAGTGCACTGTGCTGCTGCGGGGAGGAAGCACCCGTGCAGCTCCAGCCGCCCCCACTTCCTGCCCTCCTTCCTCCCAGTGTTGCTGAGGTCAGAGCTGACGTGCTCCCACCACACGCGTGCTCTCCAAGGGGCCGTTGGCCCCTCTGCAGCAGCCACTGCCACGGTACCCACCAGTGCCCTATCCCGGGCCACAAGACAGCCCCAGGACACCCTGTGCCCCCAACCCTCCTCCTCTGCCACCATGTGCCTCACACCACTGTGGCCATCATGACATCTGCATGCGAGAGCACGGCCACAGCTGGTGCTCACTCAGTGGGCTCCCCTGGGACCCTTGGCAGCCGCTCCACAGGTACTCAATGCTCCTCATCCACTCTGTGCCAGCAGCTCATCCCTGGGCTCAACCCCCCAGGAGGGGCCAGGCAGGATGGCCAAGCCTCTCTGCCCACCCCAGGGATCAGCTCCTGATCCAAGCCCTGCCACAGTCCCAGCACACGACAGCTTTGCCGCCCCTCAGCGAGCACCTCACAAAGAGAGGGGGATCAAGATCCAGCACCCTGCCACAGCAGAACAAGCCCCCAGACTGACCAGCCCACCCACCAAACCCCCACTACCTGCCAGGCGCCGTCAGGGGTCTCTGATGACAGCGGCAGGGTGGCCTCAGTGGCCTCAGTGGGTTGATCCCAGCAGTCCCAGCTGCACCACTGGGCAACCACAGCTCAGTGCCACGTGTGCCCCAGCAGCACTGGCCCTGCCACCCCAGCATGCAAACAGAGCGCTGTGGCACACCCTTGGCGCACCCGGGCCGTCCTGCCTGCTACACCAGAGACACTGCCTGCAGCCCCACACAGAAACCCCTGGGATTCGCTTGGGAGCCAGGGTGTGGGTCCGGCCCAGCCCTGCACAGGCAGTGGGAGAGAACAGACACTAAATCCACCCTTGACTCACATTAGTGAGCAGGGGAGCAGATGGGCTGGGGCGTATTAGCTCCAATCACGCCAGCTTGGGGAAATGGGCAAATCGCCGCCATGCCATTAAACGCCAGCCGGACCGTGACACCAGCAAGGAATGCACACCCAGCACGGGCTGGGGCACACGGCACGCCAGGGGCTGCCAACCAGGGCAGGGGCCCTTCAGGGACCGGCAGGTTAGGCAGAGCCATCCACTGCCCCTTCTCACCCATGAGACCGACACCAGGAGGCAGCTGCTGGTGCTGCCCCCACCCTGCAGGACCCACCTTGGCTGCCCTCCTCTCACCGGCGCAGTTGGGATTCTGGCAGCGCAGCACTGTCTCCTCTGCTGGGCACGGCTCGTCTGTGGAAAGAGAGGATCAGTGCCTGGGTGCCATGAGAGCCACCCCCTGGGGCCATGCAGAGACCCCCACAAACACAAACCCTGAGTTTAAGAGCTTGGCAAAGCACACAGGCTCAGCTGAAGCTGGTCTTGCCCACTCCTGCCCACCCCCGCCTGTCCCACAGCCCATCCAGAAGGATGAAGCCCTATGCCCAAGAGCCAGCACTGCATCCCCGCCGAGGGAAGGCACTGTGTGCTCCACAGAGACAGAATCCAGCACCTCTTGCCCGGCACCCCAAGGCACAGGATGAGGACACAGACCTGCCCCAGCTCCCCTGGGGCTGGCACGGCCTGGGGCTGCAGCAGGAACACTAAATCTGCCGCTGTCAGTTCCCAACGGGGCTTAGTAGCCACTTTAAGCTTTGACACTTAAATCGGCCTTAGGGACAAATCCTATTTTGAAGGCTTTTGTTATGTGTCGCATCTAATAGTTTAAAAATAACGGACTGCTTGTGGCAGACGAGCAGTACGGACACCCTCTGGCAGGACAGCCCCACTGCGGGCAGGGATGCACGGCTGGGAAGCTGCCTGCTGGGGAGGGAGCCCATGCCGGGGATGTGGAGAGGCCAGGTGCCACGGCTGTACCAGCCCAGCAGCACAGGGGCTTCCCTGCCACGCCATTCCCCTCTCCCGCATCCTTCCTGCCAACAAAAACAGCATCCATGCCAGCCCGAGAGGGCCATGGCCAAGGCCAGGGTTAGACTCAGTCTGCAGGTTAAAATGCCTTTTGAGGCAGCACCGAAAAAGCTGCTACTTCTGTCTGGAGAGAGGAAAGCAACTGCTTGCTCCAGCTCCCATCCGGGAGTGATCCCGGGGCTGCCGTGGCACCACGGGCGCTGCTGGATGACGGCGCGGAAACAGCCGGGCAGGGCTGGGTCCGTCGCCGCCCGGGAGCCGGGCCGGGAGCAGGGACCGGGAGCAGGGACCGGGAGCAGGAGCCGGGAGCCGAGCCGGGCTCTGCCCCCGCGGCAGGAGCACAATGACGGCTCTGTCTGCGCGGCCGCCCCGCAGCGCTCCCGGCCTGGGCCAGCCCCCGCCCCCCGCCGCTGCCGTTTCACTTGACCTATCGGGAATAATAACGGAAGCAAATAAGAAATTCTTTCATGCACCCGAGGGAAAGTTTTCCAAACTCACCAAAAACCTAGAGGCCGCCCGCAGGGGCCGGCGGTGCCAGGGACCAGCCCCGCGCCGGAGCCGCCGGCACGGCCGAAGCCGCGTGGCCGTTCCCAGGCGCTGACCCTGCCCGCGGGTCACACACGCACCGGGGCCTCGGGCACGCGGGCTGGGAGCTCTTCGCAGGGCCCCCCGGTTTCTGGCAGAGGCAGGAGGGTGTCCGGGTCCCCACCAGCCACCTCGGGGGCCGGAGGAGGGATCCTGTCCCCATCAAGCTCCTGTCCCCCCCCCTCCCGGTCACCTCCTCCGCTGCTGCCGGCTGTGCTATCACGCCCGGCGCTCCCGGCGACGGAAAACAAGTCTGAAACCGGATCATCCTCGCAGCCGAGCGCACGGCGGCAGCCGGCTGCTTCAAACCCTGCCTGGGCCGGGGGGAGCGCTGCCGGTGGCACGGGGCAGTTTGCTGAGTGCTCCCCAGCTGCACCTGCAGCATTCCCACGGCATCCCTGTGGCACCCCTGCTCCAGCGAGAGCTTCTCCCAGCCCCTCACCCTCTTTGCCACAGCTGAAGACTTTGGCCAACCACAGCAGCCCACAGCCCTGGCTGTTCGAAGCCCCCCCAGCCACCTACCCCCGAGCTCCTCGCTGATGTCCAGGCCAGAGCTCCAGGAAAACCGCTCCACTGCCTCGTACTCCAGCCCCGCCAGCCCAGCCGGCAAAGCCTCCAGCTCATAGGCACCCCTCTTCTTCCAGTACAGAAACATCCTGGGGTCACGGCCGGAGGGCCCCCAGAGCCGTGCCCGCCCCAATGGGGCCGCCAGTGGGACTAACCGGGGAAGACTGGCTCTGGCTTTAAGAGTGGGTCCCGGTCTCCGGACAAGCGGTGCATTGATGCCAGCGGCGGGAGCCGCAGGGCGGCCGAGGGTGCTGCTGGAGGCTGCCCAGCGCCCGCGCGGGGGGCGCACAAAGGGCCTTTCTTCAGCCTCCTACAGACATTGCACAAATTTCACTTTCCGCCGTCTATGGAAGACATTCGGCCACGGAGACAAGACGTGCTTGTGATGGAAAGAATCAGCATGAGGAGGGGGGCTATTCGGCGGCTCTGCCATCCAGACGGCTTTTGAGGGGGCAGGAATGTGCTGCCCCGGTTGCATCCCTGTACCCATGGGCTTACAGGGGCCCCCAGCCTGTCCAGAGAAAGCCAGGGGTCTTCAGGGGGATTTTCCTCCTGCTAAATCCAAGCAAACAAGAAAGCACCAGCTAGGGCTTAAAACCCTCAAAGGCAGCAAAGGTTGGCACCTTTGTCCTACCCCACGTAAAACTTCCTAAAACAGGGAAAAACCACAGCACTATGCAGGATGATCAAATCCCAGCCCCCCTACTCATCACAGAAACTCCTCCCGGAGGCACCATGTGCTCCCCAGAGTTTTGCTGCTTCTGGTCACCCCTTGCCAGAAATTTCAACAGAAATTGCTGCTGCAAATGTAACAAATGCCAACTTATTGCAAAATCAATCCTACTTTATTTAGTATATCCTTGATATTTGAAGTGCTGTCACCGATTTCCCACTGATCACAGACCCGAGTGTCCCCAACTCGCTGGTGGGATGCTTTGCTGAGGATTATGCTGACCTGTCCATTGTCCCTGACCAGCATTGTCTCTCTCCCTTTTAGGGAGTACCAGAAGCCGGTGAGGTGCCCCCTTTCCCAAAGCTGCAGCATCCACCTCTGGGCCCTGGCAGGCACAGGCAATCTGAACGCCCTGGAAATGCCCCAAAACAGACACTTGCAGCTCGGGACTTATCCCCCAGCTCCCGGGAACGTAGCCAGTGTGGGGTCCATCGCCTGCAGCCAGGTGAGGTGGATGCTGGAGGCTGGTGACAGCACTAAGGGTGATGCTCAGCTATGGGGGGGTTTCAGCACTGGGCATTTCTCACATGCCCCTTGCCTATCTCACCTTTCCTGAAGCTTTTTCCACCCACTTCCCCGTGACTTGAACTCCCCTCTCACCCCGCCTGGGATGTTCTCCCTGGCTGCACCACAGCCCCCTTTATTTATTTTAGCCACTGTTCAGGCCACAATGCCAGCCAAGTCCTTCCTTTGCTGCCAGACCCAACCAGATGGGGATAATTAGGCCTGGATTAAGTTTAACTCTTTACAAGGCAGCAACACTGCACAGCCCCTCACAGCTCCTCTCCAGCTCAGTCCCCTCCCTGCCACTCATCCCAGTTTGTTTACAGCTGTTTGTTTCTGGTGTTCTAGGAAATCTCTTCACAAAACAGATAAAAGCAATTTTGCAGATTACTCACATCCACAGCAGCCACCAGCCAAAAAGCTCCAGTCCCAAGTGATGCACCACATCCCTCCTTCCTCTGCAGGAGACCTGGTCTGTGGGCTCTGAACAGGCACTGGGCTCGGGGGGCTGCACACACCAGGGCCAGATTGTTCCCTGGTCTAGGCTGAGGCAGAACCTCACCTCACTCGCAGGAGCCAGTTAGAAGCCAGGTTACTTTTGCAGACATGGATCCAATAAATGCACGATATGCTGGTATTACCCATTCAGAAGCTCTTTTCCCAAACATGTCTTCAACTTGACCCGAGATGCTTACCTCTTTGTGGCTCCTGCCACCCTCCAGCTTCCCTCAGGAGCAAATTGCTGACTGACAAAGGGTTGTGAAGAAAAAATAAAGTTTCTCTTATGTCCCAGTGGGGTAGAGCAGGTGGGGTCAGGCAAGGCCACATGCCCTAGTGCTCCATGTGATACTCCCCAATCCCATCCTGTTTCAGCCTTGATCTGGAGAACAGTCTGTTAGCGTTGGGGACACATTGGAGTCAGCCTGAGCTGTTCCCAGACCACACTCAGGGCACTGAGCTCACACTGCAGCACTGGGATACGGGGCCAGGCCAGTGCAGGGTGGGAGGAAGCAGCACCCCAGCACAGAGCCAGGGTGGGCTGTGATGGTGCAGAGCTGAACGGCTCCATCTTCACCACCCCGGGGGACAGAGATTCCACAATGTGCTCCTTTCTTCATCCCTCCTTGACCATCAGGACAACAAGAGCTGCGGGCCAGGCACGGGGCCAGAACCCCAGGGTGAGCCCTTCGCCAAACTACAGGACCGGGAAGTTCTGCTCAGGCCCCTGGGGATCACTGACACCCAGAGTTCCCTGAGGGCCGGACAGGCAATGAGAACAACTCCTGACTCAAGGCAGAGTTGGGTGTGACAGCAGCTGCCTCCATCTGTGTCACCCACGGCCAGGGACAAAATCCCAACCAACCCCCTGCTTTCCGTAAATATTTATTACAAAACGCTGAAATACAAACCGAACATACAAAACATTATTAAAGCCAGACCTGCTGTGGCATCTACCTGGCCACCTGCCCAGGGCCTCTGCAGCACCCAGGGCTCCTGTGACCACACCGGGCTCTCTACCCAGTCCACACAAACAACACTTGGCCCAAGGGCTCCGAGGATTCAGGTGTAATCACACTCAAAGGTGAAATCCTTCCTCTTGAAATGCTTCTTTTTCCTCAGCTTCCCAGCGCCCAGGATGCTGTAGTTGTAATCAGACGTGACATATGGGATCTCTCCCTCAATTCCTTGCTGAAAAACAGAAAAATAAAACCAGAAACAACTTTAGGAGCCTGTAGCTTCAGCAGAGGGGGAAGCACTTCCCTCCCCAGGCTGACAGAGCTGATGGTGTTAAAGACTCAGTGATCACCAAACCCCGCTCTGGCATCTAAAACACGAGTGGAACATTCTGTTCTCTTGAGGTTTCTGTGCTTAAGGACAATCTCCTAAAGTGATAACCATCTGCTGATGCCCAGGCATCTCCCAGCATGCATCCGCCTCAGGAATAAGAAACTGGAAAATTTGCCAGCCAGCCAAAGCTCAGCCAGCTCCCACTCCTCCCACAGGCTCCTACCTGGCCCACAAGCACGCAGTTAGGGATAGCAATGTTCCCAAGGAGGAGACAATTCACTAGTCTCAGGTTCTCTGGAGGCACCGGTGTCAGGATATGGTAAAGCTTCTTCTCCATATCAACTCCTCGAACAATTCCTGAACAAAAGAACATATGCAAAGCTCGGTCATCAGGTATCCCTGCTCATCGGCACATCCCCACAGACACTCGAGAACCAAACTCCAAATCTGAACTGGAACATTAAATCAAGTCGTAGAAGGAAACTTAGACAACTACAGGAATTTTACATAAGCCACCCAGAATCTGCTTCTGCAAATGTGAACCCAGAAAGTGAATCAACTGGGGAGTTCTGAGAAGCTCTGAGCGGTGCTGTGCAGTGACATTCCTCACAGCTGTTACCACACATTAACCGAAGCCAAAAGACTTACAGCACAGCTTCCAACAGCAGACAACACACCACTACTCCTGTATCTCATCCCACTTCTGCAGCTGTTTTTGGGAGAGTAGGCAGTTCTGCCACTCTGCAACCCATCTACCTAAACACAGCAGGTGAGAGCACAACTCCAGTGTGCTCACCGAAGCCCAGGCAGTCGCAGACTGGTGTCTGTGTCAGCAGGACTGGCCCGTCGGTCTGGCACCTGACTTCATCCGGAATGCAGCAGAGCCCAACCCAGCTGGCGTTCACTGCATACATGATGTTGGTGGGAGCAACATCTGTGTGAATAACCCTGAGTGCGACAGCACTGAAAGGTACCTGGGGGGGTGAAAAGAGGAAGAAAACTGCCATCGGTTCCACATCAGCTGAGTTCGAATTCAGAGGTAAGACCCTGAGTACACAGACCCTGCATGCTCCCACCCCACACCCACGGGCAGGGCAGACACAGCAGCTTCTGCACAGACAGAACACACATAACACATGTGCCATCTGCACACACAGGACATACAGAACACACATGCCACCTGCACGTGCCACACCAGCACCTCAACAGAAGCTTCTCTTCTAGACACCCTGAATACAGTTCTTATCTGTTTGCAGGTTACTGAGTGTTTATTCCTCTTCTGAGAAACATCTGCAGTAGGAGCAGAACTGCCCCCCGCTGTGAACCAGGCTTTCTGCACCATACCCAAGGCTTCCCATAAGGCTCCTTTACCTGATACGGCACCAGGCTGTGCAGTGGGAGCACCGCCCCGATGTCCGGGTACTGTAGGTGCCCCAGGTATCCCACGATGGACATGTCACGCAGGATGCCGCTGTGCACTCGCCTGTAAGAACAGTTCTAAGTCAAAGACAATGTGTGGTTTTGTTCAGCCCACAAATTCCACACAGCACTTAATGTTCTACTTACGCTTCACCTGCCACTCCTGCCCGAGGGAATTCTGGATGGACATAGAGCAGCTTGTACTGCTGAACTGACGCATCCTCCCCTTCGGAGCACTTCCAGCTTTCTGCAGCACCCACATCCAGCTGCTTGCACTTAGGCTGCTGCTTGCCCTTGGTGTGCAGCCCGGCCTGGAGGTGGACGTGCTCGGGGGTGAGCGGGGCCATTGCCTTCCAGTCGCACACGTCCATCTGAACAACGTGGCTGGGCGACAGCAGCCGGATGATATCGATGAGCAGCAGCAGCCCCTCGCCTTCAAGAGCAGAAAACACACAATTGCTGCTGCTACTTCAACAGGTCACACAGCAGCGCTATCTCAGGGCAGGCACGCTGCAGGTTCTGGTTCTGCGTGGTGCTGCACCATCACCATCACCACCTCCCTCCCACCCCTCTTTCAGAGAAGGATTGATCCCATTTACCTTTCACCCAGCCCATGGTGTTGATAATTAGAGGCACTTCTTTCTTGTAGCAGCTGAACACGTACTTCATGACATCAAGGTACCTCTCCGTGTCTTGCTCACAGCTGGTCTGGCCATAATACACCATCTTACGGGGCGTCTGCTGGTGAGTGAAGGGGGGACCTGGCAAAGACAGCACTGAGCCTCTAGTGCCTTCATCGAGTCAAACCAAAACACTCCCATTTCTGTAGTACCCACATGCCATCCCTCCCAAAATAACCTGTCCTCTCCCCACCTGCCAACACCTTTCTTGCACAGCCTGCACTTAGGGAGAAACTGGTTTGTCGTTTGCAAGACTCTGTGCTGGAGTTCCGTTTGTTTCGGGTTAGTTTGGGGTTTGTTTCCTTGCTTGAAATCACTGGTTACACACTTACAAATCTTTAAACAACAGTCTATGACAAACTGCCTGAACAGCAAACCAGTCTGGCCATGTCCTTTTAGACAGTGACCCAAATCCAGAAGACCACAAACACCAGAAGTTTCCTGGGCACTGGTTTCTTCACACTCGTCACAACAGCCCTGAACCTGTGTGGATCCACTTTGAACTTCTCAGTGAGTTTCACGTGTGAATACAGATTTTCCTAAAGAGACCTTTCAAACCCGAAAGGCTGAACTTGAACTTCCCCTTTGACATGCCTTAGCCTGCTCTACCACCTGTAAACAACATCATCTCTCTTTAAAAGAGACAAAAGGAGCAGGAGAATGGCTCCATGTTACTTAGGGAGCTTAGATGTCCCTACAACAAGACTCAAACAGCTGTTGGTTTATTCTCTCTAGGAACCTCTGACATCTGTGGCAGCAGCTTCCCCTCAAGCAGCCTCTGCCCAGAACACCCTGCTTGTTTCAGAAACGGAACAGGTCTCTGGTAACCGCAGGAGCAGCGGAACACGTACCCAGCACGGGCTCCGTGACGCTGCTCAGGGACACGCAACCGGGCGGTGTGAATTCTGGCTGGCCTATGTCACACTCCATGTACTCGACTGCAGGAAGGCTGCAGGGAGAGAACCCATGTATATGTCCACCACTTTGTGTTTAAAAGCTATCCACCCTCCAGGCCTGACGGCTCTTCTGACAGTCCTGTCAGACACATTTTTCCTTCTCTTAAATCCCATGCAGCACTTAAAAGCTTGCAGAACATGGAAAGACTCACCGATTCAGTAACAGGTTAATTAGGTATCTGTTGAATGTCGATTTTCCAGTGTTTTTTGGGCCACATACCAGCACCACAGGGATACCTTCATCTTCCGCTGGAAAGACAAGCACGGTGTGAACCAGACAAATGCTGGCATCACTCTGACCCAGCCCAGGTGATGCTGAGCTCGAGCATACCGCTCTTTAGAGAAAAATACAACCCTCGATCAGAGTGTGCCAGGCAGGGGACATTCTCTAATTTTAACTCATGAAAGGCCTCACGGACTTCCTTTTCTTCAGGCTACCAAGGCCCCAACCTGGCCAAGTGCCTGCACTCACCACAGCAGGCCTGGATAAGTTCCTCCAGTGCCAGGTACATGCTCTCCGACACCAGCAGCCCGCGGTCGGGGCTGCACTTCACGATGCCCACGGACGCCAGGACCGCGTCCTCCGGCGTGAAGCTGGATTCCTCCTTTTTCTAGGCGAGAGGGCGAGCGCTCACCGCGGTGCGCGAGGCCACAGCGCTGAACGGCGCCAGGGGCGGCGGCCGCTGGCTCTGCACGGGCGGTGCAGGGCACCGCGGGCACCGCTCCGCCCGCGGGGTCTCACCTGGGGCTCGAAGAGCCGCGACAGCGGCGGGTGGCTCAGCAGGAACCGCGTCACCGGCGTGTCCAGGTGCTCCAGCAGCACCACGGCGCAATCGGACGAGAACCGCGCCATCACCTTCACCCGCGCCTCTGCAACGGGCGAGCGCCGCCATCACCCTGAGCTCTGAGCTCTCAGCCCGCCTGCCCCGCAACGCCCCGCGCACAAAATGGCCGCTTCCCGCACCGCGCCGCCCGCAAAATGGCGCCCGCCCGCCCGGTCCCGCACTCACGACGGCGGACGCGGTGCGCGCGCATGGCGGCGCGGGCGGCCGCGCGCAGCTGGCGGAGGGCGGCGGGCGGGCGCGCGCCGGGCAGCGCCTCCAGGCTGAGCGCGCAGTGCGTGGCCGGCGAGAACACCGGCAGGCCCGGGTGGTGCGAGGCCACGGCGAAACCCAGCAGGCGGACGGCGCCGTACAGGCAGCGCAGGCGACACTTGCCGGTGAAGGTCAGCGCCTGCGGGGACAGAACGGGCGGTCAGGCGGTGCGGGGCGCGGCGGGGCCGGCGCGGCGCGGGCGCTGCTCACCTGCCGCGGCGCCAGCAGCAGCACGGCCGTGCCCTCTGCCGCCTCCACGGCCGCCAGCCCCGGCTCGGCCGGCGGTACCATCCCGGCGCGGGCGAAGGAGGCGGCGAACTCCCGCCAGGCCGTCTCTGCCCGGGCCCCGCGGGCCGGGTTGCGGGCCAGGGCCCGGCGCGGGCGGCTGCGCCGCGCAGGCATGGTCGCTGAGCCTCCTCCGCCTCCCGGGGCCGCCCCTCGGCCGGCACCGCCCGCCCGGTGCCAAGCCCCGCCTGCCGCCGCCGCCCCGTTAAGAGCCGCCCGGCCGGCGCCGCCTTACCCCGCCATGCCGCCGCCCGCCCAGCTCCGCCTCTGCCTGTGCGCGGCCGCCGCCGCGGCCCTCGCCCTTCCCGGCGATTACCGCCTGGCCGGGCTGTTCCCTCTGCACAGCGCCGGGCCCCGCACCGACGCCAGCCCGCTAGCCCGCGGCTGCGATGAGTGAGTGCCCGCGCTGCCCGCTCCCCCAGCCGCGGTCTGTCCTCCCTAATAACCACTCTTGGTTCCGCAGCAATGCCGTCTTCAAGAGCCACGGTTACTGCCTGTCCCAGGCCCTGCGATTCACCATAGAGGAGATCAACAACTCCAGCACGCTGCTTCCGAACGTCACTCTGGGCTACGACATCCACGACACCTGCTCTGAGCCCGCCAACCTCCACGCCACCCTGAGTGCCCTCATCCGCAAAGGCAGGCAGGATGTCCAGCTGCTCCCCACCTTACAACACTATGAGCCCCAGGCTGTTGCTGTCATTGGCCCCGACAGCACACAGCTGGCCCTCACCACAGCTGCCATCCTCGGCATCTTCCTCGTACCAGAGGTAAGTGCAGCTCCTGCAGCTGATGAAGAATATGGATCCTGAGCATTGAGGGTTTGAGAGAGGGTGGACTCAGAGCTGAGGAGGCTGCTAGAGCTGGAAACGCAGCCCCTCTGTGTGGGCTGGCTGGGGTCCCTTCCCAGCCCCTATCTGGGGGCAGGCAGGAATCACAGTTGGCTCACCGTCCATCACAGTTTTTTCCTGCCACGGCACACTCGGTGCTGGCTCCACTGCCTGCCCCGCTCTGAGTCTCCCCAGGACAGGCTGCCCGTGCCATCAGCTTTCAGGGATGCCACTGCCTGGGGCAGTGCCTCCCCCTTTCTCCTGGCTCACTTTACAGATCAGCTATGAAGCCTCTGTGGAGACGCTGAGCGTGAAGCGGCTGTACCCGTCGTTCCTGCGCACCATCCCCAGTGACAGGCAGCAGGTGAAAGCTATTTTCCTGCTGCTGCAGCACTTTGGCTGGACCTGGGTGGCGCTGCTGGGCAGCGACAACACCTATGGTAGGGGTGGCCTGGATGCCCTGCAGAAGTTGCTGACCACAAGTGACGTGTGTGTGGCCTACCGAGGCACCATTCCTATCAACTCAGACACCAGCAACCCTGAGCTCCACAACCTGGTCCGAATCCTCACAGATGTCAAGGTCAATGTCACCATCGTCTTCTCCAACAGCCGAAGCGCCCGCCCATTCTTTGAGGTGGTGGTCCAGAGGAACATCACAGGCATGGTGTGGGTGGGCTCTGAAGACTGGCTGTTGTCTCAAATCATCTGGCAGGTGCCTGGCATCCAGACCATTGGCACGGTGATTGGGATGACAGTTGAAAAGCCAGAGTCTGTGATGCTGGAACGCTTTGAAAGTTGGAAGATGGCGGAGGAAGGTGCTGCGGCCAAGTGTGCCAGCACTGCAGAGGCAGGCGGGGAACCCGGGGGGAGCTGCACCCAGCACTACACTGGCTGCTACTCACTCACTGCTGCCCCCAACGTGTTCGACGCTCAAGCCTCCTTCAACGTGTACTCGGCCGTGTACGCCGTGGCCCATGGCCTCCACAACCTGCTGGGCTGTGCCTCGGGGGCTTGCAGCAAAGGCACCATCTATCCCTGGCAGGTAAGAGCAATATAAGGATCCTTTCCCACAGGGAAGGATTTTCCCATTGTGCTCACAGAGACCTGGATGGGACTTCTTGCAGATGATGGGGGTCTGGAGAGCAGAGGTAGCACAGAGGAGGGATCCTCCAGCACATCTCCCTCCCAATGGCAGGAGTCTCACCATTGGAAGGGCTCCTCTCTTACTCTTTTGTTTTACAGCTCCTACAACAGATCAGGCAGGTAAACTTCACCCTGTACAAGAGCCGAGTCTCTTTTGACGCCAGCGGGGATATTTGTAAAGGCTACGACATCGTCATGTGGAACTGGAGTGGCTCAAGCTGGGCTTCTGATGTGATAGGAACCTTCCATGTCAACCCTGACAGGCTGAGCATCGACCCAGGCAAAGTCCTGTGGCACACAAAAGATAGCCAGGTACTGTTCTGCACCCAAGTCTTATTTATTCCTCACTACTGAGCTGGCTGTGTCCCAATGCCAGCTCTTATGGGGCGTTTCCTCATAGCAGGGCAAAACTGAGGGTGGACAGAGGTGGTGTGGGGGGTGCCAGAGTGCTGCTGGGCCCAAGCTGTGCTGCTACCCACCCTGCTCACAGGCTGACCCTGTCTGCACTCCCGGCAGGCTCCCACCTCGGTGTGCTCCAAGGCCTGTGAGCCGGGGGAGTGGCGGCTGCAGCAGAGCCGCCACCGGTGCTGCTTTAGCTGTGCGGCCTGTCCGTTGGGAACCTTCCTGAACAGATCAGGTTAGTACACCCTGGGGGCTGCTCCCACCCCTTCCTTGCCTGCCTGCATCCTGCCTCCTGCTCCCTTCTCCCCGTTCCCAGTCTCTTCTCTCCTGTGGTCAGTAAAGCCTGAGCTGACCTGATGGCAGTGGTCTGGCTCCAATTTGCTCACCGGTGGGTATGCAAAGACCACGTCCTGCACTTTCCAGGGAGTGTTGCCCACAAGTGAGCCCACCTGGGCAAACAGAGCCCCTTCTCCTGTGGCCAGGGGACAGGCATGTCCGGCCCAGCAGCTGTTCCCTGCACCGCATCCTCTGCCAGGGAAATTCGATGCAGTGGTTGCCTTTGTGCCCCAGATGGCACCTGGGGCTTCCGCACCATGCGGTCGCCAGCAGCTGGCATATGGAAATGTGCCCTGCCTGGGACAGACAGCAGCAGTCTCCTGCCTCAGAGTAACCAGCCACAATGACAACCCTCTTCCTGGCAGCTGGTTCCCTGGCACCCTCAGCCCGCTCTTGGGCTACGGGGTGGGGAGGGGCAGCTCTGAGAACAACGGGAGTGAGGTCCTGTCCCATTCAAGGGGGCTGCTGCAGACTCTTCCCAGGTTATTGCTGGATGCATGGGCCCCCTCTCACCCACAGCCCTGAGCCTAACCCAGCCGAGGTCCTGCGGGCCCCACACCTCAGCCGAAGCCACAGACTTTGGGGAATTCCGTGGGTGGAACTCTGGGTGGGGGGGGTCTTTTGGAAAAAGAGCTCCCTCTGCTCCCCAAGGCCTGGGAGTGCCTCTGGGAATGAGCAGAACATGAGAGGTGGGCAGAGCTTGGGGGGCTGCAGGCTGGGCTGTGGCAGAGCTCTTACCGGGTCCAAGGTATGCAAGGTGCCCATGTCCTCTGCAGACCCCTACAGCTGCCAGGACTGCAGGTTGGACGAGTGGGCCCCGGCAGGGAGCGAGGCCTGTTTCATCCGTACTGTCGAGTTCCTGTCATGGTCCGAGCCCCTCTCCTGGGTGCTGCTGACCCTGGCTGTGCTCCTCATGCTGCTCATGGTGGCACTGGCTGTCCTCTTTGCCCTCAATGCCTCCACACCCGTGGTCAAGTCTGCGGGCGGGAAGATGTGCTTCATCATGCTGGGGGCCCTGGCCTGCACCTGCAGCAGCCTCTTCTGCTACTTCGGGGAGCCCACACGGCTGGCGTGCCTGCTGCGGGTGCCAGTCTTTGCCGTCAGCTTCACCGTGTTCCTCTCGTGCGTGGCGACCCGCTCCTTCCAGATCCTCTGCATCTTCAAGCTGAACGCACGCTGCCCAGCGCTCTACGAGGCCTGGCTGCGGCGCCAGGGCCCGCTGCTGTTTGTGGCCGGCAGCACGGCGGCGCAGGCCATGCTGTGCTTGGCCGCCGAGGTCACCGGCCCCTCGGTGCCGCTCCGGGACTACGGCGCGCAGCCCGACCGGGTGATGCTGGAGTGCGCCCAGAGCGCCGCGGCCGGCGCCTCCACCGCCTACACGGTGCTGCTCAGCGTGGGCTGCTTCGCGCTCAGCTACGCGGGCACGGACCTGCCCGCCGGCTACAACGAGGCCAAGGGCCTGACGGTGAGCCTGCTGCTGCACCTGGGCTTCTCGGCCGCCGTGCTCTGCTCGCAGGGCGCGCTGCGCGGCCGGGCCGAGGCGGCGGCGAAGGTGCTCGGGGCGCTGGGCACGCTCGGGGCGCTGCTGGGCGGGTACTTCGTGCCGCGGGCCTTCGTCATCCTGCTGCGGCCGCAGCAGAACACGGCCGAGCACTTCCAGATGGCCATACAGGCGTATACGCGCCGCTGGGCCGCCGCCTGAGCTGCGGGCACCGGCCCGGGGCCGCGGGGCTCGACTCGCCCCGCCCCGCCCCGCCCCCCCTCCCCGGCCCGGCCCCAGCCCCGCACACACAGACAGACACACGGAGACATCACAGAGGCACGCGCGTCACTGCCGGCGCTCGGTGACGCCACGTCCGGCGGTGCCGGTGCCGGCCCCGGGCGCGGCCATGGCGGCGGCGGCGGCGCACAGCGTGCGGGTGCTGCGGGAGCTGAACCGGCAGCGCGCGGCCGGGCAGTTCTGCGACGCGACGCTCGGCGTGGGCGGCCGCGAGTTCCGCGCGCACTGGCCGGTGCTCGCCAGCTGCTCCCGCTTCTTCCGCGCGCGCGGCCCCGGCGGGCCCGTGGCGCTGCCCGACGGCCTCGCCGACACCTTCCAGCTGCTGCTCGACTTCTTCTACACCGGGCGCCTGGCGCTCACGGCGCACAACCGCGCCCGCCTGCTGGCGGCCGCCGAGCAGCTCGGCGTGCCCGACGCCGTGGCGCTGTGCCGCGCCTTCCGCCCGCGGCCCCGCCGCGCCGCCGCCGCCCGCCCGGAGCCCGCGGCGGCCCCGCAGCCCGGCGGGCAGGCGGTGCGTGAGGGGGGCGGGAGGGGGGCGGCGGGGCCGGGGCCCGGCGGCGGGGGCGGCGCGGTGACGCCGCTGTTCCCTCGCAGGGCTCCCCCCCGGCCCCGGCGGAGGCGGCGGGCGGCGGCGGGCGGGGGGACGGCGACGCCGAGCAATTCTCCGAGAAAAAGGCGCTGCGGAGCAAAAAAAGCCCCCCCGCCCCGGGAAAGGCGCCGGGAAGCAGAAAAGGTACAGCGGTGCCGGTAGAGTGCCCCACATGTCATAAAACCTTCCTCAGCAAATATTACCTTAAAGTGCACAACAGGTAAACGCTCCGACTTCTCCTTCCTCTTGCGCGCGCGGAGGATGCGCCGCCCCCGCGGCTCAGTCCCTTCCCGGGGGGGAAAGGGCGACCACAGTTTTGCCAGCTGGTCCCAACGCCATTCCCCGGGATGGAAAGGAGGGTCCCCTCTGCCCCTGGGGGTGCTCTGACCTGTGGGGGGGATTATATGTCTCTGAA